ACTCCGATAATTCATCACTATAATACCGTCTTGTATCTCTCATTCTCTGTCTCTCTTTCTTTCTTCCTATTTTGTTTTATTTTGAATCCTGGAAGTTTTGTATTGTATTGTCGTTCCATTATTAAATAAAGGAATTAAATTCATTTCATACAGATCACAAAAGATTCGGAACCACTATCTTTTATAATTTACTATTAACAGTATATCAACTGCATGGAATAGTTTGTGATCGATTTATCGGTTTCTTTATAGAAAACTGTATACTCTTTCTTTCTGATATATGGTCGTTACGGCATGGAATGACATTACTACAATATTTGAGAGTCTTTATTTTTGTTATCAGAGTCTTTTGCTGCTTTGAAAGGAAATCTCCAAATCGAAAAAAAAAAATTGAAAAGGAAAGCATTATTTGGAAGAGTTTGATATCACATATGTCTAAATGATCGTAATTCAATTTTGAATTAGAAAATTTGTTGGAATTGCTATCTTTATTTTGTTTGCTTTAGAGTATTTGAGGATCTTTTCTCATTTTACTTTTTGCATTCTCCGAAGAATCCTGACAGCTTTGTACATCTGACTATGTTTTTTGTCGAGATAGATGTTTGGATTTTTACTTCTTTATTTTTGTTAAAATAAACATTGTAAATTTTACAATATTGCATCATTGTTTTGCATATATCATTTTTAATTTACATATAAATATTTGAAACTTTATGAACAACAGTCGATTAATAAGAAAGCAGAAAAAACGTAAGTAGTGAACAAGCTGTAATAATCTCGAAGTTAAATAATTTATTTTGAGCCTATGCTTACCTAAAGTCAATTGTATTTGAGGTTATTCTGTTTACATCATTTACTGTTTAAGTAAATGATTTTCGAAAGTTCCAACAGGAATGATTTTTCTGGAAAATATCTGATAAGGCAATTATTGTAAAAATAAAAATTGACCTATTAATCATTTCCAAGCAAAGTTTTTGTATTTTTTTTTCCAGGAAGATGTGGATATTTGGTTATGGTTCACTATTGTGGTATACAGATTTCCCTTATCGAAACGTCATTCCCGGTGTTGTACGTGGTTATTCACGTCGATTTTGGCAGCTTAGTCCTGATCATAGAGGCACAGCAAGCAGTGTTGGTTCTTTTTCCACGACCTGTAAGTAAGAGAGATGATATCACGTCATATCTTTATGACATTAAAGATATGCGTTAATGTCCCTTATGATGCTTAATTGTTTTGATATTATATTTGATTTCACTGAGTTAAAATGTTTCATTCATTTATTTCTTCTTCAAAGTTGATATTGTTTTAAAATAGGAAGGTAGTGCAATTATTAAATGTTTTTTTTCTTGTAACCTTTTTTTTTTTGCGAATTTTGCACAAGTTAAAATGAAAGATTTTGTAGCCCGGTCGTACAGTCACCTTGGTAGCAGATAAAAATGGTTCTTGCTGGGGTTTAGCTTATGAAATTGCTGAGGAACAAGTATCGGATACAATTAGATATTTGGATATACGAGAAAAAGCTGGCTACTTTGTCTGTTTATCACTTAATTGAATTAAATTTTCGCAAAAAATTAAACAATTTCATTTTTGTTTTTCATTGATTGGAAAACTTCATATGTTAGCTTTATTAATTTAAAGAATTGTCCGTAATTTAATAGCAATCATGCTTTTCTATATTTTATTAAATGTAATTCTTTGTTTTTCAGAGGAAAGAAGTGATGTTTTATCCAGATAATGGTGATCCATTTTTTGCAATCAATGTTTATTTAGCTGCTGAAGTGGAGAATCCTTATTTCACGGGTCCTACTGATGAGAAAAATATTGTGCATAGCGTAAATTATCTCATTTTCTTCTTAGAATTTCTCTTATATGAATTTTGCAAGTGGTAAAATTTTACTATTATTAATTGCCTGAAGCTTAGATATTGCAATAAAAAATCTGAAATATGCAAACAGAATTGCATTCCATTTTTTTTTTGAAATTTTATTTGTGATAACATGAACCTTATGTTTCTCATTTTTTTTTTTTGCTTCAGTAGTTCAGATTCGCTTAAAAAATTTTATTAGTGATTAATCAATAATTAACTTTAACTTTAGCGTTTTGTTTTGTTTTCGTTTTTTTTTTTTTGCAACTTAGATACATTTTTAAGATACTTAGAGCTCGTGGAATCAGTGGAACAAACATTGAATATGTCTTACGATTAGCAGAATGTGTACATCGAATGGCACCGCATATTAATGATGAACATTTATTTGCAATTGAAAGAAAAGTGGTAGAGGGATGTCATCAGTTGAACATTCAGGATGATTACCTGATTAAATATTTGAATCAAAAGCATCCAACCGAATCGTTTACTAAAAACTGAAATTGAAGCAGTTTAATCTTTGAAGTATACATTAATTTGACAATAAGCAGATATATTTGCAAATTTTATCAATTGTTTGATACTGAAAGTTTAGAGTGGAACTATTATTTGAAAAGAGTTTCAAAAATTTTTTATATGCAAACATAAGGGAATAATTACCATGCTGTTAAGTTAGCGATTTTTATTATTTTTATCCAAATGGTTTTATATCTGTTCTATATTGAAATCATAATTGTTAACTACGCAAGAAACTGATCTTAATTATTCGATGTAATTCAATTTAACTTTAATATTCGTGTGATAAGAACGAATATTATGCATTGATAATAAAATATTTGACTTTAGGGAAAGAATAAATCAACTCGATTTTTAATAACTCAAAATCTAATCAAACTACAAGCTACCTAAAAAACTACATTTACACATTGATTTCTACTAATATTAATTTTGGTTTTAAACTACTGCTTAAAAATTTGGCGAAGGATGCAAGAGAGAAGTTACTTTCTTTTTTTTATTTGATCGCTAACATTTATAATCGTATTATAAAATGTCTATCAAATTATTTGCTCGTTATTCCCGCTTTTATTTTCCTTTTACCTTCATTTTTTTTTACCCAATTTTCTCTTGCAAGACATTTATTATGAGTAGTAACAATATCATAAGTTACTGTTCAATACTTGTTTTGAAATGTTGAGTAAGAAATTTTCAACTTTTTTACATTTGCATTTGATCCTATGGAATTTTCGGGAATGTTTGATAAGTTGGAATGATTATTGAATGAATATTTTCAATGCTTTATGTTTCATTTACATTTTTATTAAGAATTTTTTTATAAAATTAAAATAATTGATAGATAGTTCAATATACTTGAACAGTGTTATTTTTTATAAAAATTTCAGTAAAGTAATGATTGTATTAGTTTATTGTGAACAAAGACTTAATATTATTAATCAGTAAAAACAAAAGCCATTCCATACTCTTTTTTTTTTTACATTTCATTAATAAAATATTCAAATGATGAATTTCGATATTGGAAGGTATAAAGTTTTGAATCAAATTTGCTTTGATACAAATTGAAGGATTGAAAGTTTTTAACTTTAATTAAGAAGTTTCTGAAGTTGGTGAACTCTTTAACAGTAAAAGTAATAGTATAAGTTATATTCCACAATATACAGCGTAAGAAATTTTATAATTAATTTATTTAAAAAGAAAAGTGTCCAAAATGAAGCAAAGATAGCAATTCTGATCCTTTTTATTAATTTAAATCATTTAAATATTTAAAATGTTTAATTTACCTGAAATTTGTATTATTATTTCATTAGAAGGGAATGAAGGAATTCTTTTTAAACCAAAGTTAGCATTTTCTACAACGAAATTATATACTGTCACATGAAAGATTTTTATGTTCAAGTAACGTGAATAACGTGAACGTACGTCCTCTTTTTTTTTTATCCAAATAATTTTGAAAAAAAATAAGAAAACTATTATTCCTTACATTCCGCCACATATTCCCATATTTTATTAGCAATTAATTTTTAATAGTATCATACCATAGTATAGCTAAGTGTTCTATTAGAGAGATATGCTTAGATATAATAAGTGAATTAGAAATTTGTAATGATCGATCAATCGATATTGATCAATGATTGTTTCAGTAATGGACTCATTTCGAGTGGAAGCCGTGAAGTGAATGTTTCGTCAATTATTGCCAGTTAGTTACACGGACGTAACGTGACCTTACACTAGAGGAGTTTGGCTCAGAGATGCACGGAATAAGACGAAATGGACACATTTCGAGTGGAAACCGTGAAGTGAATGTTTCGTTAATTATTGCCAGTTAGTTACACGGACGTAACGTGACCTTACACTAGAGGAGTTTGGCTCAGAGATGCACGGAATAAGACGAAATGGACACATTTCGAGTGGAAACCGTGAAGTGAATGTTTCGTTAATTATTGCCAGTTAGTTACACGGACGTAACGTGACCTTACACTAGAGGAGTTTGGCTCAGAGATGCACGGAATAAGACGAAATGGACACATTTCGAGTGGAAACCGTGAAGTGAATGTTTCGTTAATTATTGCCAGTTAGTTACACGGACGTAACGTGACCTTACACTAGAGGAGTTTGGCTCAGAGATGCACGGAATAAGACGAAATGGACACATTTCGAGTGGAAACCGTGAAGTGAATGTTTCGTTAATTATTGCCAGTTAGTTACACGGACGTAACGTGACCTTACACTAGAGGAGTTTGGCTCAGAGATGCACGGAATAAGACGAAATGGACACATTTCGAGTGGAAACCGTGAAGTGAATGTTTCGTCAATTATTGCCAGTTAGTTACACGGACGTAACGTGACTTTACACTAGAGGAGTTTGGCTCAGAGATGCACGGAATAAGACGAAATGGACACATTTCGAGTGGAAACCGTGAAGTGAATGTTTCGTCAATTATTGCCAGTTAGTTACACGGACGTAACGTGACCTTACACTAGAGGAGTTTGGCTCAGAGATGTACGGAATAAGCCGAAATGGACACATTTCGAGTGGAAACCGTAAAGTGAATGTTTCGTTAATTATTGTCAAACATTTTTTAACAAACAAAACAAAACTGAAATCAACATAATAACAATTTAATAATCTTTTAAACTTTTAAATTTCTTTATAGCTTTATATTCGTATTCAGAAATTCCAAAACATGGTTCAACAAATCGTTGACACGGATTGTATTCTTCACCAGTTTTCTCATCAATTGATAATTTGCTACGTGAATATTCCGATCGATACTACAAAAATTAGATTTAATTATTTAAAATTAGATTTATTATATAACAGTGATGAATATTTCGGATATTAATTAGTTGTAAATTATATTATTCATAATTAGCAATCTATCTTTTTTATATGGATTAAGAATTAAGCTTTATTTAATACATATTATTATTTCAAATATTGCATTTTATATTTAGAAAGAAATAAAAATTAAAATTTCGATTAAAAATCCTAATAATTGGAAAGAAAACAAAAAAGAAGAAAACTCACATAAATGCATTCTAAAGTATACTGATAACACAGATTATGATTAATCATTGATCTGAAGAAACGATATTCAGCTGGTGGATAGGAAATTTTAAAACGATTTGATTCATTTATCGTAAATTTTAATGATTTATTCTTAAATTCTTTAATGATAAATCCTCTTGGTCCAGTATCTTTGTAATCATTACTGATATATTCACTATTGTAATGTTTTGTGATATTATTATCACCAAAAAATTGTTCATCAATCATTTTTATATTGTTATCATCATCATCATCATCAATTTGGATATAATTAATGATAATTGATACATTCCATAGTATAATCAATAAAAATATCACAACCATTCCTAGTGAATACATCTTGAATAAATAAAATTTTAACTTCAAAAATTGTATAATTTAGTATTTGAGTGCATTACAACAATTCTAACAGGATTATTTCATTATAATTTAACTCAATTTACATACTTATAAGTAACTATCTTTGCTATCCTAAAAAAAATAGATCATTTACTTTGATTAAAATGTATAATATTTCACATGAAACCAACATTTATTAGCCATTCAAAATTTTATGTTAGTTAAAAGCATTCCACTCATTTCTCGAGAGAGAGAGAGACAAACAAGGTTGTATTTCTCGACAGATAAGAATCAGAAGACTGATAACTCATAATTATTTTTCATGTGTAAACAAATTATGTATGAATTTAAAAAAAAAAAAGATATGATTGTCACAAGTTTACAAAAGGTTTGATTTATTTATCTCTAAAGAATGTATAAACAAGCTATTATCGATTCGTTGTTAGCATTTTACTTTTTTTTTTTTTCTGTTTATTGTATGAAGAAAATTTTTAGGATTTATCACAAAGTAATGAATGCACTAAACATTATTTGCATAAGAAATCATAGAAAGTAATACAATTTGCTTGGAACTGATTTTTCATTTATCCTATATAACAAATTAAGAAAAATTAGAAGTCGCCAATTTGAATAAAAGTAACTTCGTTTTTTTTTTTTTTACTGTGAATTATCAATACAGAAATAACAACAGGAATAGTCAGAAAATCAGAAAGACCAAATTAAAAAAAAAAAAAAAACAAAAAACAAGCTAATCACTAATATTTCCTTTCATGATTTAAGAAATCTTTCATGTTCTATCTTTAATTTAATCAAGTTTTTTGGAATTAAAATGCATCTTCTTAAAAAAAAAATCTTTGAGTAAGAAAAAATTTTGAGATCTTATTGAGGAAAAGTAGGAAAAGGTTTTGGTGATAGATATTAGTTTCAGTTATCACTAAAAAGCCTTGCAAATGAAACTTGAATTTGTTCTATTGAATGTAATAAATCAGTGTTTGATGAGAAATATTAGTTTTTCAGTTTTAATTCAGCTATTTTCAATTACCAATACATTCGCAAATTATTTTGCTCATTTTTCGAGTTAAGAAATATTTTGATCAAAATAAAGTGTTGTTAAGAAATATTTTGATCAAAAATAAATATGAAAATTTGTCTGCAAGGCTTTTTATTTACTTGTCATATAAAACTGTAATATTACTTTAGAATCAGTTATGCGTTGAAGTTTGTAAAATGATGAGCAAATAAATCTGTAAAAATTGAAGAAAGCGAATATAAATCCTACAACAAACTATTTCATATGCATCTTCATTTGATAAGATAACTGATAATCAGAGCACAATGCTATCAGTCAAGCTTTCTTGGATTTCGAGCTGCAAAAAAACAATGCTACAGAATAAATTAGAATGATAAAATTGGTATAACAAATAAATTTAAAAGCTAAATATGACAAAAACATAAGGATAAATATGTGTATGCAAAATGAAGTAGCCATTGCAAGAAATACTAACACCAATAATATAATTTTCTCAACTGATAACAATAAATTCCCACAAATTTAAAGTAAAAAACAATAATAATGCTTACCAGAAACGTGGCAAACATGAGCTATTATATTTTGATTTTTAAAAAAACTCAACCATAAACGCTGTTTGGTCGATAATTTATCACCAGGACCTTTAACTTCTACAACCTGCAATAAGATTTAAAATTTAAAAAAAAAAAATCTATAATACTTCCTTTCTAGTATTATATTTAATATATTACAATAAAAGAAACGAGTTTAGTTCGAAAATATGAACGTAAGATATATGAGAATGAAATTCATTCGTTAAAAAGAATGCATCTATGATAAAACTGTCAAAATTAACAATGAACATACAGCTAGAAGTTTCTTTTCATCATTCCAAATAGTTAAATCGGGAAATCCACTTCGACAATTTCGATAATCGGTAATGAGCCGACGAATAATTGCGCAAAGGACAGCTATTGGACAACAGATCATAAAACGCTTAAAAAACCCGCGTCATTATTTTCTTTTTAAAGATGCCAAGATGGTAACTGCTGCTGGATAAAAAAAATATAAAGCTGACTTAATTTTATTTTAGCAAGATTTGGTGCATTGCATAGGTTCTTTCTATCCTCTAAACTTTAAGAATACTAGATAAAATTTATAGGAATAACCGTACAATTGAAATATCATTAGCGCAAGAAATTTTTTTTGAATGTTTAGAATATATATCAAAACTTTTTAATACAATGAAAATACATAATAATAGTGGAACAATTAATTGACAAACAAAAATTTACTAACTTTAATTTGTTCAAAATCAGTAAAACAATTCCATGTGATCTCTGAATTGGTTATTCCATAATTATTATTGTATGTTCTCTCCATTTCCAATAATAAATCATCAAAATCTCCTTCTTCAATCTCTTTAAAGCGTAATTCGAAAAGATCTTGTCGATTGACATAGAAAGTTCGGCTGTTCAAGTCCGCCGGATTCATCTAGGAATAAATCATATAATGGTGAAATTTCATAAATTAATTCTTCACTATACTTCACTATTTCAAACAATTCAACTAATTCCTGATCAAGGAAAAATGCTTTCTTATAGCCTGAAGCTGAAAATAATTTAAAATCTGGAAATTCATTACAAATAATCTCACATACCTGTGTTTCGCTAAACCATACACTTTCAACAGCTGAATCAAAAATAACGTCGTAAAATAAAAGTCCAAATATGGTGTGCCAAAGTGCACCTTCTGCATGTACTCCTGTACATAAAACACAACATAACATTGACAATAATTCATAAAAACTTTAAAAAATGGCGAACAAAACAGAATTCAATTACGTGTCTACAAGCTTACAAACCTAATTAATATGTCTCATACTTAAGCTCATTTTATTCCTTGATAAAACTGAAATTGATTAGTTACATTTGAAGTAGATCTTCTAACTGTGACTAAGTTTAGACCATTACTTAATTTTTAGTGCACTAACACTGCACTGCACTGATTTATAAATGGATAAATTATCAAAAACGATAACTACAAACCTTCTTTGAAACCTTTTTTTCTTAAATAATGATCCAGTGCCACCTCTTCAACGCTGCATTCATAAGATACTCCATTTCTGAAATAAAATTCAGATATATGCAAAATATAAGCTTGAAGAATTAATGAAACATGAAATTTTTTATTGAAACAAAAAACACACTTATTAATAAGAAATCTGTTAATTCGTGATTCGCCAAGATTTTTACCCACTACAGAGCCTTTTATATTAATTCTTTCAAGATCTTCCTCTTCCAAAGGTCCTTTCCATCCTGAACAAAGTTTACGACCTCTATCCTACAACATGAACTAATTTAGTTCTTCAAAAAATTCCTAAAACCAATAAAAAATCAAAAAAAAAAAAAAAAAAAAAAAAAATTGAAAAGAATTTAACAAGTAAAAGAGATGGGAGATTCGAGAGATAAAACTACAAAACATTCATATTCATATGAGTAATAAATCAAAATATGAACATCAGAAAAATGAACAAACTTGCAGAGACAAACGATCTTTGTCACCTAAAACAGGATCTTTTAGAGCAGCAATAACAGCTTTCATTGCACCATCCTTATCTTTCAGATGTGCATCTAAATTTAGTGCTAATCGATCCCACCATCCACCTCGAGCATTAGCAAGAATAAGTTTAAATTCTGAAAAAAGAAAAAATTACAGTAGATGTAATTTCAATGGAATATTAACAAACTTAGATAACTTCATAAAACCCATGCAAAAAGAAAAAAGATTACAAACATTTCGGACATTAGTTAAATTTGGATTTGAAAAATAGAACAGTTACATTTGTTGAAACTTTTATTCTTAACAACTGTAAAGACTAAATTTATTTATAATCTAAGTGTTTCCTGAACAATAGTAAATTGGAAGAAAATAACGTTAAGACAGTAACACTTCGTTTTCTTCAATCTACAATACACGTGAGATGACAATACGTAAGAAGTCAATCACTGAAAAAATACAGATGCGAAAAAAAAAAGCAACAAATCAAGAACAAACTTAATTCAATAATACTTGAATAAAATAAAATAGTTAATATTACTATACCTATAGCATGCAACATATATTCCAACCATACAACAGCTTCAGCATAATCTCTGACCTTTTCTAGTGCATCAACACCATGTGATATACACCTGGATGGAAGAAAATGAAGGATATAAAATGATTCAACTATACCTGATAAAAGCAAGAAATTTTAACGAAACAAGAGATTACATATTTTTCTAGTAGGAAGATAAATGGAAAGATATTTTTTTATATTTTTTTTAATAGGAATATATCTGAATTATTTCAAACTCAAAAAAAAAAAAAAGACAAACTCAAAAAAGTAAATGTCTAAAAATCGTACTATAAAGAATGAAAGATAAACCTTGCATATACATGAAGATCGGTGAATCTCCGAAGACTATCAATTAAAGATTCATAGAATTGCCTGCAACACGAAAGGGAATAATTTTAATTATTTGACTCAAACTAAACTTAACTATTTGGCTTAACCAAATCTATCATTAATTACCACATCAACAGAACACATGCATTTTTTGCAAATTTCACAGAATATGAAAAATTAATAAATTAGTCGAAAATGAAATTGACTAATTCGTATATGCCAAATATGAATCGTTTTTAAAAGATATGCTTAGTTGTAACTTTTAAAACTATTACTAAATTAATGAATTTAAATCAACGGAATAATGAAAAGTTCTAATAATTTTATTGTTGCAATAAATGAAAAGGACAAATTATTTGAAAATATTGCTTACTGCTGTACAGTATAGGCATCCTGAAATTTGATGCGAGCTTTCTTAGCGCAATCAATTATTTCAGTCCACTTTCCACGCTGCATCAGATCAGCTATTTCAGCCTCCAATTCTTTTGCTTTAATATACCTAAAAGACAAAATGTTGCTTCAAATTTCAAATTACATATT